TATGATCTGATCAGTTGATGCATAGCCTCAGAAACCTTGCCACTTTACCCAGTCATGAATCATTCTTTTCTTTTTTCTTTTCTTCTTTTTTCTTTTTTTTAAGAGCAAGAGAGCACATGAGAACATATGAGCAGGGTGAGGGACAAAGGGAAAGGGAGAAGAGAATCTCAAACAGACTCCATGCTGAGCAAGGAACCTGAAAAGGGGCTCGATCTCACAACCCTGAGATCATGACCTGAGCCAAAATTAAGAGTCGCTCAACCAATTGAGCCACCCAAGCAGCACTGAATCATTCTTTTTAACTGTTTTCTTCTCACTCCCTGAAATAGACAAACACAAACCCAAGGTTCTTTCCTCACTTTCCGCTTTTAAAACCCCTGCTCCAGAATTTCCAATATCACGAAAACCTCTATTGGTGAGCTCAACCTCAAAGGATAAAGTTAAGTAAGAAGTTACTACTATGTTAGTAAGAACTAAAGAAGGCACTTCTTGCATAGTATAGTGATCATTGTATGAGGGCTCACCAATTTTCTACAAGTCATCTGTCCACAAATACAAATCACTTTGCTAATCTAGAACACTTTTCTGTGGTATTCATTATAATCAATAGATAATTCCATTGACCATGAGTTGACCTCTCAAGATCTAGGCTGCCTGCACAGTCCATTTTTTTTGGTGCATTAAATGGGGATGACAACACAATGGGTACCTCTCAGGATTATTTTAGAGACCTGGTATGATCTTAGATTAACATTAGGTTGACAGTCATCAGTGCGTAAAGTGTTCAGTACAAGGTTTTGTCTTTTGTCTAGCTAGAATAAACAGGGCTAGCTGCAGCAGGTAGTCTTGAAAATGATAGTTCATGTGTAGATTGATTATATTCAAAAGGCAAATAAAAACAGATTTGAGGTTGTCCACATTCCTTCTTACCTTTCAGAACATAAAAGATCTTTTCTTGTCAGGACATACTTTTTACAAGTGTGTTTAGGATGGTGGATCAAAGGAAGAACAGGAAAGGCTCAGAAAACAGTCCTGGGTGGCTCAGTTGGTTAAACTTCTGCTTTCAGCTCAGGTCACTATCCTGCAATCCTGGGTTCAAGCCTTGTGTCAGGTTCCCTGCTCAGTGGCAGTGCAGGTGGGGGGTTGCTCCTCCTCCCTCTCCTTCTGCTTCTCCCTTTCTTGTTCTCTCTCTCAAATAAATAAAATCTTTTTTTAAAAGTTCAGAAAAAAATATACATATAAGTTCCTACTGGCCTGTACAACAGTCATATGCCGTTAGCAAGTTAAAACTGCTCACTAATTAACAAAATGTGGAGCTTCTGTGCTGGGATTTATTCTATGAAATCAACATGTTCTCTCTCCAATTTGGCATAAAATAATTTGTCCCCACCACTATGTTGGAGAAATGCATTAAGTTGCCCAGAGAGAAAAATCAGTGTGTAGTGGCTGCCACCTTGTGGTTTTATGTATTACATTAATCCTCAGAAATCAAACACATATTTTACAACGAAACAACCAGTTTCTAATATATACCAACAATTTAAGTATAATTTTTCCTAACATTATTAAAAATTCTCCAAGTTGCACAAAGAACTATGAACTGATTTCTTGGCATCCTTTTATTGGCTAGGTAGAGTGGAAATCAAGTAAGAATTCACATATCTCGGTCATATTAGCTCTTGATCACAGAAGATCTCAGTTACACAAATGATATGTGCTTAGGTGTGTACATTAAACATTTTTAAAATTTTAAAAAATCCTTCTTCTTAAATTAGATGTGCTAGGGATGCCTGGGTGGCTCAGCAGTTCGGCGTCTGTCTTCAGCTCGGGTCGTGATTCCGGAGTCCAGGGATCAAGTCCCACATCCGGCTCCTGGCATGGAGCCTGCTTCTCCCTCTGCCTGTGTCTCTGCCTCTCTCTCTGTCTCTCATGAATAAATAAATAAAATCTTAAAAATAATTTTTTAAAAAAATTAGATGTGCTAAATAACTTAAAAACTACTCATAAAATGGAATATATAATACCATTAAAATACAACTTGAGAAAAAATTTGAAATTATATTTTTCCATGCAAATAATTCTATAACCTTTTGAAAGGTAACAGAGTAGGGGTTAAGTACAACCCTGGGACCTGGATCAAATATCCCACTTTGATTACTTATTAGTTACATGAACTTAGGCATATGATAGAATGCCTGTGTATCACTTTACTCCTCCATAAAATGTGGATAAGCTCAATAGTACATACCTCACGGTTGTGAAGATTGATTGTAGCTTTTAGTGCAGTAGTGGTCAGATCACGAAGGGTGATCAATATCTGGGTAACCATAACTACAATGCCATGAGTCAAATAGTTTTATACTCATTAGCTTTCCCCCTCCAAAGGGCTCCCTGTTTCTCACCTTATGCACAAGCCCGGATTTTCCCAGCTCTTTCACTCCTGCCTGAACTTTGAGGGCCCATGTTCTTTTTTTTTTTTTTTTTTAATAAATTAATTTTTATTGGTGTTCAATTTACCAACATACAGAATAACACCCAGTGCTCATCCCGTCAAGTGTCCCCCTCTGTGAGGGCCCATGTTTTGCTGGAGACCCAGGGTGAGGGCTCTGAAAACATCTGCCAAGCAGGTAGCAGAATTACTACCACTTAGTTTGCTGTATGTCTCCCATTCTATCCTTTTTTGAAAAGTAGTACATTTTGTTGTTATTCTACTTCTGCCCTATTATATATTGAACAAAGATATATAGAAGTTTAGTTATAGAAGATAACTTTTATTCTTAGTTCACAAAAAGATGCCACCTGAAGCAGACTCCCATATTGGTACAACACCTAGAATCTTAAACTCTGGGCTTATTGCCGTGACAAAGTGGCATGTGGGGGTTGTCACTCTTGAAAAGGGGATGTGTGTATTTGGATGTAGGAAAGAAAGTGAGCTGAATAGTTGATGACTGAAGGGTGGTTCTGAATCATTAGTACCACTCTCTGGTAGTGTGTCTTCAAAATTAGGGATGGCCACATGAGTTGCTTGGGCCCCAAAAATGTAAGAAAAAGTAATGTGTCACTTCAGGGTGGAAGCTCTTGAGTTTCGGTACATGATTCATTTTCTTGGTCCTCTGCCTTGCTGGTCATGGAAGCTTGTGTCAGGTTTATGTTTCCTTCAGCCTGGGTCTCAGAATGATTATAGCCCCTTCAATGATGAGCAGAGCTTCATAGGCCCAGATGGACATACAGTTTGAGCAAGAAGTAACTTCAGTTGTGGTAATGCACTGACTATTTGCAATCTTCTCATCATCTAATCAATCTATCCCATTTTAGAAAATGCTTAGTGTCACTGTGATCTCCTGGCACGTAACCCTACTCGCAACTCCAGCTGAGAGGGGGTCCTTTCCAAATTCACAGCAGAGACCTGGGCTGTAATTGCATACTGTCATGGGAGGGGATAGTTAGGAAAGAACACCACAAAGGCTCTGGAGCCAATCTGTCAAGTAACTTGGAGCTCCAGTACCTAGCAATTAGCTGATTGACTTTGAGCAATTGATTTAACCTGTATAAAATAGGGGTCCTAGGACTTCCTGTTCCAATTACTGTCCCTGTGTAAGAAACCACATAAAAGGTAATGGTGTCAAATATCCATTTATTACACTCAAGGAATTTTGAATCAGGAATTGGACACAGCATGCAGGGATGGTTTATCCCATGACTGGGGCCTCAGCTGAAGACTCAGAGCAGGAGTAGGAACCATTTGGAAGTTTACTGACATACTTGGTGATTGATGTTGTCTGTTGACTGAAACCTCAGTGGGGGTAGGGGTGGTGGTGGTGAGGTCAGCCCTAACTCTTACATGTGGCCTCCCCCTGTGCCTGGGCTTCCTTACAACATGCATCGAGAGAAAGCGTAAGCCAAATCACCTTTTGTGACCTAGCATTGGAAGGCACAGCCTCACTTCTACTGGATTCAGCTAGTCAAGGCAATCTTGAAATCCTGCCCAAACTCAAGAAGGGAAATAAACTCCAGTCCTATTCGCTATTCCCATCAAGTATTCTTTTTTTTTTTTTTTTTTTTTTAGGATTTTATTTATTTATTCATGAGAGACAGAGAGAGAGGTAAAGACATAGGCAGAGGGAGAAGCAGGTTCCCTGTGGGGAGCTGATGTAGGACTCAATCAAGACCTGAGCCAAAGGCAGATGTCAACCACTGAGCCACCCAGGCATACCCCCCCATCAAGCATTCTTATGTTGACCTGTGCACTACCACTTTGCTCTTCAAAAGTGCCTACTAACTGAATTCATCTTTATAACATATTTCAAAACGTTGTCCCTCAACAACCAATGAGCAAATAAATACGAATCTAATTCTTTTACTTTTCCCACTTAGGTTTAGCATGCTTTTTCCTTTTATTAGAAATGCTTGGTTTGTTTCTCTACAGCAGGGCTCTATAAGTTAGGGCCCACAGGCTAAATCCAGCCCACTGCCTGTTTTTATAAACTTTGATGAGAACACAGCCATCTCCACTCATATGCATATTGTCTATGTCTGCTTTTACAGTCCAGTCATAGAGTTGAACAGTTCTGATGGAGGGCTGCAAAGCCTACAAGACTGATTGTCTCTTAAGAGTCTGCTGACCTCTGATCTAGCATAGCAGTTCTAAAAAAGCTGTTGGCTCAACAGAAAAAGGAGATAGAAATGGCTATTTCACAAAATAGAGCTGTCATGGACATCTACAATGGACCCAGCTGCCTGGCCAGCTGCTGGGGATAGAGAAAGGAAGAGGGGCAAGCTGGGAGAAGGCCACTAAGAGGAGGCGAGGACTGGAAGAGGGCCACGGTGGCACAAGACCCAAGTCTTCTGCAACAGCCAGAATGCCTGTGAGTGCCTGCAAATGTCTGATGGCTTCCCCCAGTCCTAAGCTCACTCTCTCTTATTGGAAAATAATAAAAGCTGCTCAGTTTCTAGTTACCCCTAATAAAGGGGCTATATGAATATAAACAATTACAGCAATGTTTCTGATTTGGGACTTTTATTTTTTTCATGCCCAATAAGCCTACGTGGTTGGCATTCACGGCTCCCCTCTTACTCCCAAGCTCCCTACTCTTTATTGCCTTGTACTCGCTAGTGCAGAGGGCACCTAGGCTTTGGCAGCTGCCTTGTAATGGGCCAGAGTGCGGGCAGAAGGGTCAGTGGCATTGATCCACCTCGGCATCCAGTAATGGGTCAGCCAGTCAGCCCGGCCTGGGTAGTGGCGTTCAAAGATTTGACGGTAGTAATAGCCCTCTTTAGTTTTAGGAGTATTGAAGGGAAATTTCTGGGCTGCAGCGGCCATCATTGCATCGTCAACCTGGAAGAGCATAAAAGCAAAATGGTTTTTTAAAGGGCATAGAAACACTTGTATTTAATGTGGCTTCACAACAACAAAAGGTAACTAAAAGGCATGATGTAAATTGCACAAGAGACCCTTTGATTCACCTTTCACTTAGAAAATGCTAAAATATCCTAATATACACAGCTGCAGTGACTTTTAAGGAACATTTTTGTGACTATCTGTAATACATGGTGGCTCTGAATTAAAGGAATAATTCCTTTATTCAGGAATAAAACATTCCTGCCTGCCAGCAGGCACCCAGCAGGTCCCCAATAATGTGTTAAATGGAGATCAGTGATGGTTGGTAAGTCGCCTCTTTTGCTCTTTCAATTCTAGATGCTATTATATAATCCTTCATGCTATTGAAATCTTATGAAATTCTTATAAAAATATTGTTTACAGAGAATTTCTCCAACAGACACAAAACATTTAAACAAAATGGACAGCAACTACAACTCTGTGTCCACCATGCCCTATTCCCAAAAATATTTCTAAAGACATTATACCTGATGTTCAATATATTCCTGCAAGATCCTAAACCAGGAATTCTTAACTGAGGTTATTCCATCACTGAAAGCTTCTTTTGGCCGCCAGAGAATGTCTTTAGGTATCAGATTGGAGTCCTCAAATGTCTCTCTCAGGAGATGTTTTTCTATTCCATTCTGACATGAAAACAAAGGAACGTCAGTAAAAGTTCCAAATATATTCAGTGTCAATGGACAGTTTTTATCCTGAATTGATTCACCTACCTTGGGAATTCTCATATCTGGTGGCAGGGACAAGTAATAGGAAGAAAATCGATGATCCAGGAAGGGGACTCTCAATTCAAGGCTTAAAGGGGAAAAGAAAATCTAAATCAAAATGAGTATTTCGTGTCTGTCCATTTAGATTTTCCTTGAAAGTTTCTTAGCATTCAACCAGTCTCTAAATAATGTTAAGACAATGAAGTCATTTTTTGCAGTCCTCCTGAATGTGCTACACTACTGCAAGAATACAAAAAAATCTTCATTTAAAACAATATTACCTTATCAGAGTGAGACCCACTGTTTGACAATAATTTACTTTCCCCTGTATAAAAAATTAAATGCACATCTCAAAAAGCAGAAAGATAAGAATCATGAGAGACCTGATCATTGAGAATGTACTTTTCCTATGAAAATCAAAATCAAAATCTTTTCTCGGTGACATCATTTCTCATCCTATTAGAAACTGTAATAATTCAAAACTGTTTACTACTAAATGACTAATTTACATAAAATTCAGTAGTGTTTCATCAAAGGCCACAACATGTTTCCAAAATCCTGGTGACTCTGGTTAAAACGAATGGATGAGATGATAACCATGGATTCAGTTCATTCCCCACACCATAGTTCATTATTTTCCAATCTAAGTGTGATTTAGTAGAAGCAACTAAAACATTGAAAATCGGTTGTCTATCATGTACAATAGAGTCTCATTCTCCAACATGACTGGCCAGAAAGTGACAACTTTAGGCATCCAGAAATGGTATCAGAGAAACCTGTTTTATAATCTAATCTACCCTCTTGGATCCTCACTGCCCTGTACCCACACAGGGTCACCACAGAATCCAAGGGGCATGGCAGGCACTCAACACTTATTTCATAGGGATGTATCACCTTTACTTCTCTTAAAAAGTCTTAAAAAGAGCTGCAATCTGCCTTCTTTCTCCATTGTTCTGATGGCAGCAGAGTAGGACTGTAGTAGTAGGTAGTCTAACCCTAAAGACCATCCCTTCCCTCTCCATCAGTGCTACAACAGCACTAGGAATAAGAGGAGCTTCAATTTCACCAAAAAAATCATACTTTGCAACATATAACCAAATTAAAACAAAAAAATCAGCTGTTGAGCTTTTTGATTTTTGAGGCTATCTTTATAATTGCTTCTCAGACTACTGAGTCACCCGTGGGCAGCTGTAGTGCGATCTGCCCGGAGAACATCGAACAAGTAGAGTTCCTTCAGAAGCCTCTCACTCTCCTCCTCGGCTTTCTCAGGAGAAGGAGCCTGTGTTAAAAACAAACAGCTGAAATTACAAATACACCAATAACTTTGCTTTGTGCACACAGAACAATCTTTATTTCTTACTCTTTCCCACACTCCCACTGTAACGGCAGGTAAGACAAAAAAGCTACACAAGGTTTGGGGAAGGGCATCCCTGCTTGGTAAAACAGGCCTCCCTTCACACCAATCAGTTCGTGTCAGGCAATAAAATGGGACACTGTGGGCAATAACCACTCTGCCAGAGGATCTCAAGACATTTAAAACCATGATTCTCATGTTTACCCAGTTCTCAAAAATGCAGATAATCTGACACCATCAAGACTTCTTTCTCCCCCAGAAGAAATATAAAACAGAGTACCTCGGTGGCTCAGTTGGTTAAGTGTCTGCATGCCTTCAGCTGAGATCATGATCCCAGGGACCTGGGACTAAGCCTTGCATCAGACTCCCTGCTCAGTGGGGAGTCTGTGTCACCCTCTACCCCTCCCCACTGCTCGTGCTCTTTCTTTCTCTCATGCTAACTCTCTTTCAAATAAATAAAATCTTAAAAATAAAAAATACAAATCAGACACTATCTGGTTTCCTCACCTACATCACAAGACACTCAAGTGGTAGGGCTATAGTGAAAAGACAGACAATACCAAACAAATTGTTCACTTTTCCTAGACTAGTGCCAATATCTCTCCGTTTCAGAATGCTTACCTTGTGAAAATATATGTAACCCTGAGTCAGTTCATCTGAGCCTTCTCCAGAGAAGATCACCACGCTATCTGTGTTCTTCCGAATGTACTTGGAAACTAAGTACATACCTTAGAAGAGGGTAACAATTTCTGTCAATTTCTGTCAAGAAATTGTTAATGTCAACATAACTCTCTACCAAAAATGCCTTTTGTTTGGCTTTTGGAAACTACTAAGTTTTACTTAGATTGAACTCTGTATTAATGAAGTAATCTCCAAAATAATGACCTTTCGTCTATAAGCCATTTTAATATACCTAATCCAGAAGTTGTACTGTTATAATGAAATAGCCCAAAATCATTCCAGAATTTCCTATACAGGTTTTAATGCTTTTATATCAAGAATGTCCATCTTAAAACTCTGTTAACCTGAACAATGACAAATACCTTAAAAAAAAAATCTATAGCTTTCATACCAGTATCACTCTACAAAAATAATAGGAGTGGGGAATTTAGATAGTTTAGTTTCAATTTTTTTCCTAACACTCCCCATGCACCAAATTTCACAACAGAGTGGTTGTGAGAGTTTTGTTGTTGAGCCTTGTGATCACTTGGCTGACTGAAAGCTGTGGCTCACTGCCACTGCCCAGCATCAGGAGACAGTAGCTTCCACATGGTGCTAGCCTGGTGAAAGGATCCAAATTCAAAGTTGAAGTATGGTTTCTACTGAAAGGGTGTTGCTTTCACACCATCACAAAGTCAAACATTGTTTAAGTGGAACCGTGGTTAAGTGAAGGATCATCTGTAGTGATACCGTAAGTGTGGAAGTGTATGTATTTATTCCTGTCCAAAAGAAATTGGGGGAATTCTTAAATGGTCCTAGGAATTTCATTTGCATTCATTCTCAAGTATTGTTTTTCAAACTGTTGTCTGAAATAATCTTTTAACCCTTATTATCTTTTCAGTATTAAAAATCTTTCTGTTATCCGAAAATACCTTACCTACTGAAGCACGAACTGTTGTAATATCATAAGTTTCCAAGGAAAATATGACTTCATCCAGGACCTGAATGCCTTCCTCAGAATTAAAGAGGACTTCATGGTGTTCACTCCCAATATGATTTGCCACCTGATTATTTAAGAAACGTCCATACACTAGTTATTTAAAGAAAAGAACTGCTCTTGAGAAGGAAACATGACAGTAGTTCACAGCGCATTATAAGTTAAAAGCAGTGAAAAATAAACCAGGCAAAATAGGGGAAATGATTCTCCAGGCCACCATATACACAGCTCCCTGGTCAGATTTTCTGGCCTCCCTCAGTCTCTGCCCTGACTCAACTAAGAGGTGGACAGCCCATCAGCTCCTTCTACTCCAAGACTTCAACCTAACCATCTATAGTGTGCCCCCTACACACCTAAGTTACCTACCTCCTCTCTCTCTAGTCCAATGGGACCCCACTCTAACCATGGCCCCCTATTGGCCCTCCAGCAATGTTTTACATTACATTCAGGATAATATTCCTAAAGGAAATGCCGCCACCACCACCCTTTTTTCTTTGGCTATTTTGAATTCTATCAGCATTGATAACTTACTTTGAGACTGCACTCTAGCTCTTTCTCATCCATTCTACATAAGTTCTTCTAGAGTAGGAATAAGGTCTCCTGAACACTGAATATATATTATATGTATAAGGTCCCTCCCCACCCCATAATCCTAACACACAGTATTTTATTAAAAACAGAAAAAAAAATAGCTAATGTTTACAAAGTACTTACTACATGCTATGTTCTATTCTATGTTCTTTATATGAATTCTATCATTTTTACCACAAAACTATTCCATAGTAGATACTATTATTCCCATTACATATATGAGGAATTACATGGCAGAGGTAGGATTTGAAACTAACAGTCAGGCTTCAAAGTGTGCAGTTATAACCACTATACCACATCTTTATGTTCAAAAAGAATTATTATCATGGGATTTTTAGGATTGCACGAGCCTTGGTAGAAGTACCCAAAGGAGTGTGTACAACACAGTTGATACTCAACAGGTATTTCATTCCATTTTAATACCCTTAATTTAAACTAATTACCTGAGTCAGTACAGGAGCATAAATAAACATAGAATTATTAATTATTGGCTTGATTTTTATTCTAACAGGTATGTCTTAACTAAATAATGGGGAGAGACAGTGTCTTACCTTTCTAGCTGCTAGTAAATCAGTACTGTCTTCCATGCCAATTGCAAATGTCTGGAGAGGGTACTGAACATGGGCCTCTTTTAGTTGCTTTAAGAGGGTGGCAGCAACCAGACTGGAATCTAAGCCCCCTGTGAGCAAGACCAGAAGTACACGGGTTATGTACCTTGCATAAGGGAGGAACAGGTGGAAACCTGTTAGGCTCCAGGTTTAGAGTTTTACCACTTAAAAATCCCCAAGTTTTATAAACTAAAAATTAACTTTAATAAAAGAAAATTCTAACATATATTACCTGAGAGAATGGTTATAGTATTTGAATTGGTTAAAAAAATCACTACACACAATTCTAAAGAATATATATTAGCTCACTCATCTCAGTGATTATAACAGAACCTGACATTGCTATATAACTATGAATATTAAATGCAGCTTACAGAAATCATTTTCAATCTACAATGGAGGGAAGATTAAATCATAAATATTTTATAGTCAAAACCTCAGGGATAGCTATAAATCATTTAGTTAAATACGCATTAGATATAATTAGGCTTTTTAACAGCCTTTACCTGATAAAAGGCAGCCAATCCTTCTGTCTGTCATCAAGCGTTTCTTAATGGCATTGTCAAAAAGGATCCGGAGGTTGTTCTTCACAGTTTCTATCTCAAAACCTAGAAACACATAAAATAAATAAACAGTTCCAGAAAATCTTGGTCTGATTATTTACTGAAACGTGGTACACAATCATCTGTATCTATCATGATGACATGTGCTCAACCGTGGAATTTGCCAAATCCCAATGCACCACCTCCAAATTAAATAGGAAATAGCTCTTCAGACTCGAACCATTCCAGTGACATGATAGTATCATTTTCTTTTTTCCTTTGGGGGAGACAGATAGGGACTAGGCGAGTGGGAGTATCTACTACCTGGAAACAGTTTCTCCACATTGTCGTAGAGGGCGTGCAGAGGTTCATCTCTACAGTGATGATATTTGACCATTTCCACGGATGCAACTTTGCCATTTGGCTTTAAATCCAAAACTTCATAATGTCCTGGGAGAAAAGGCTCCACTTTTAGAAAAGGAGTCGTAGAGTGCTTCAAGTTAACAAGACCTACGAATTCAAGAAGATAATTTTACTCAAGATACAATGCACAATAACTTTCAGTTACTTATTATCCCCTAAATTCCTGTTTATTTTCCCTTTTTAATATAAACATATGTCCATTAGATCAGCAAAATATGGACAAATTAACCCAAATACTACTATCTACTTACTAGAGAGGGCACAGTAGTAGAGATATACAGCAAGGCTGCACTGATTTCTAGTAATTCAAATAGGAAAATCTCCAATGTTCAATATCTTCTCCCTAGCTGAAATTTCAAATCAAGAGAATCTATTTTCTATAATAAATTAAATATAAAAAGATACATTAAACAGAGAGATCGACTTGAAATTACTCATTTTATGATATCCCGGGAGTCATTTCTTTGACTGAAGTATTTTACGAAATAGCCATGGTTCCTAGACCTTTGACAGGCAAAATGATCCACTAAGAGATCGACTTTACTTTAAAGTTGGATATTAAGAAGTCAGGCATCTACCTCTTAGTTATTACATACTCTGTAATGTTAACAGTATAATCTAAAGTTCCTCAATAAGTTTTCACAGGGAGTAACCAACCTGACACCACCATAATCTTTGATACAAAATCAATGTTATATTATAAATAGGAATAGCCTATCTAAATGCTCATTATGATTTACAATGTGAATTTGTCAGCCTAGTAATCTGTCTTATTGAATTCAAAAACCAGATTGGACTCAGATCCCATTACTAGTTGGCAGACCTCAACAGAGCCATATAATTTCTTTGGGGGATGAAGAGTAATTTAAGTTTTAACTAGGCAATACCATGAATGGATTAGTTTTTGATATATTATTCTAAAAGCACTGAGACTATGTTGGCAAACCAAACTTCAATAAAAAAATAATAAAAATTAAATAAAATTAAAAAAATAAATTAAAAATAAAAGCACTAAGAAACAGTCATTTGAAAACTTTTGGAGTGCCCATTATGATATTCAGAAATATAATCTAGAGAAAAACACAAAACCAGAGCAATAATGAAAACCCACAGAAAAATTCTATCATTACCTTTAGCTTCTGAACACACAGCCAAAAATCCATCTTCTGTCATGGCTTTAAACAAAGGCCTGACTCCATAAGTATCTCTGCCCAGGAACACTTTCTTATTGGCAGTATCCAGCAAAATAAATGCAAATACCCCATCCAACATACAAACTGTTTGTTCAATTCCTCCTTTGTCGTATAGATGAAGGATTATCTCACCATCCACTTTGGTCTGGTATTCAAATTCAAAATGGTGTTGCATCTTATAAAAGTAATAATAAAATAAACATGTTAAAATCTGTGTGCATTCACTAATAATTTTTCATTCCAAGTTGGTTCAATACTTCCGTGTTCTATAAGCATGCACTTTAGTGGAATTACAGCATTATCAAGATATAATTTGTTTGAGGTCACAATTCTGCAAATTCTTTATAACATAGAGCTAAGTCCATGAAAATTTTTGTTGCATTTTCATAAATGCAGTGTATCAAAACAATCCTGTGTGGACAGATAGAAATGCATATTACATATGTGCTATGTCTGTAATACACATATATTTACAGCTGTATGTGAGGCAAATAGGATGTCCCCTTGCCATGACACTAAAAATGTGCTGCCACAACTGTAGTATTTTGGCTTGGGAATATAATATCAGCTAAGGTTTTTCCAGTTCAGTCTCAAAGACCTGCCTACAAAAATAGAAAGCAAAAGGACAAATATAGTTGGTTCTGGTCCCTGACAAGTAGATGATTCCATCACAACAATAAAAACATGGTGCTAACAAAGCTGCTGGTCCCCAGGGAATGACCGTTAATATTCAGTTTTTGTACACTGCAGTGGCATTAAAACTACTACTTCTCACTGAGGGACAAAATGACAGGGAGGCTTTAGTAGCTCACACCCCCCCCCAAGGCACAGCAAAGTGACGGTCATGACCACTGAGTGCAGAGGATTTGATTACATTACACCTGGACTCTGTGGCTCTCCAACACCACTGGCAAAAAGACGGTGAAAAGTCCTCAGAGTTCCTCTTTCTGTGAACTTACTCATATTTTAGCTGACAATGGAGAGAAGTTCATATGAACGAAATGAGGTGGAAATCCTGGATAAGTTTAAACATTAAAATAAGTTTCTAAAATTCAAAAAGAAAATCTATGTTTGTATACATATGACCTATAATCATGCTTCACAATCATGTTCACTCTACAATTTGTGAAACTTCCATCTATGAGCATTCAGAATGACCCAAAACATGGGTTTTGGCTGCCTCCAGCGACTACAAAGCCACTTCCAGTTCACCTCCCCCTACTCTGAGAGACCATCTGGGAAGATCCTGTCATAGCAGGTGGGTTTGGAAGCAGTCTTCTGCTGACCCTTCTGGGCTTAGGCATTGGAAAGATGAATATACCGCAAAGCATTCAATGATTTTGGTAAGCCACGACCTCCCCAATCTCTCCTCCATTGCCACCATGTCAGCACTGCTCTTTAGCTAAAGCTAGCAGGTAATTTATTGGTTAATGATTCCCATGTACCACTATTCACCCTCCTGTAACCACATGGGTAAAAGCTACACTGGTATAAAAGCCCCTGTCTCTTGCCCCTGTCCAGAAATGCCATTTGACCTGCTGGTTGTAAGTCCCTAATGCTCCCAGAGACTCTTCTCTGCCCCAGACTCTACTCAAATTTCTCCTCTCTTTTATTTATTCTCCTCCATGTCTAACATACCACCAGTTATATTTTATTAGCAGGAATAAATTTTCTTTTCTGTAAAAAAAAGGGGGGGGGCTTTGAAGTTTATGTTGCAGCATACTTTATATATACCTAAAATGGCCATCCACCTAGACAAATTTCTGGGTGCTCACACTGCATAAGCTTAGATGATTGGTAGAAACAATGGAATGTCTATGCTTTTGAAAATATATATATTTTTTAATATATTTGACTAATTTAGAATAAAAACACTTTTGAAACATCATTTTCTAACTTTTCAATAAAAAACATAAAAGCAGCAAAGTTGTTCAAGTAAAACAAGGTATTTCCTATATCTTTTCAGGTGAAAATCAGGTTAAAATTGCCATAATGCAATCCAGCATTCTTGTGTATATGGTATTAACTTGGAAGGAAGTAGGAAAGTAGTCTTAACTATTTCCTTCCTGTATTCTCACTAGTGTGAAACTCCATTCTTACTTTTCCTGTTCACCATTTTATCTCTAAGCACCTAGAAAGAGGATGCCTGTGTATAATACACCCTTAATAAATGTATGAAAGGAATATGAATAACTATAAAAACTTCTCAAATGAGAAGCCTATGATTCGGAGTATTCCTATAAGCATATAACAAACAACATCAAAAGCTATCACCCAGAGAAAAATGTCCAAAGGGTAACTAGAATGTAAATCCCTACCTGGGAATGATAGACCTAACATATCAAGACTCAAAAAGTATCAAGAAACAACTAACTGTATGAAGTATGAATGCTATCTGGATTCAAACAAAACAGCTATAAAAATATCCTTGGTGGGGATGCCTGGGTGGTTCAGTGGGTTAAAGCATCCCAACTCTTGATTTTGGCTCAGGTCATGATCTCGGGGTCTTGAGATCAAGCCCCATGTGGGGTTCTGCACTGGGCATGGACCCTGCTTAAGAGTCTGTCTTTCCAGGACACCTGGGTGGCTCAGTGGTTGAGCATCTGCCTTTGGCTCAGGCTGTGATCCTGGATCTGGGATCGAGTCCCGCATCGAGCTCCCTGTGGTAAGCCTGCTTCTCCCTCTGCCTATGTCTCTGCCTCTCCCTGTGTGTCTCTCAGGAATGTATAAATAAAATCTTTAAAAAAAAAAAAAAAAGATTTTCTTTCCCTTTGCCTCTGCCCCTGCCCACATCTTCCTACCGCCCAAAAAATAAAAAGATATTCTTGGCACACTTGCAGAAATTTAATATGAACTGAATATTAAATGGTACTATTGATTCTTAGGTTTAATAGTTTTGGTGTTAGGTAGAGGAATGCCCTAATTTTTAAGAGGAAGTGCTTATATATTTAGGAATAAAGTATCACATCTATAGTATACTCTAAAATGATTCAGCCAAAAAAAAAATATCAATGCCTAGATATATATACAGAAAGAGACAAACAGAGCAGATATGGTAAAACATTAACAGTTATACAATCTAGGTTCTCGTTCTGTTCTTTTTTACATGTTTGAAATTTTCAAAATTAAAATCTGGGGAGGACGGTGGCAAACAAAAGATTACTTGGAAATTTTAGATTAAAAAAAATTTTTTTTTAAGATTTTATTTATTTATTCATGAGAGACACAGAGAGAGAGAGAGAGAGAGAGAGAGAGAGAGGCAGAGACACAGGCAGAGGGAGCAGGCTCCATGCAGGGAGCCTGACATGGGACTCGATCCCTGGTCTCCAGGATCAGGCCCTGGGCTGAAGGTGCTAAACAGCTGAGCCACCCGGGCTGCCCCTAGATTAAAAGATTTATGAAACACTAGCTAAACAATTCCAGATTGGAAGGTTCTTAGCCAATTTGGCTTCCTGAGGTCAGAATTTCCACTCCCTCACCACTCTCATCCTGAGTAAGCTTTCACCAGATTAGGAAGCTGTTCCAATTTTAATACTGCTAAAAAATCACTTCTTGCACTCTGTTGCATCTGGCTACCCTTCTGGCATGTGGCTCTATGTAAGTGCAGTATGCAGAGCAATAAATATCTTAAGGGCAGGATTATATAAAACCTACAAGTATGATTACCTCCAAACTATTAAACTCTATACCTACCCTAAAATTCTCCCATCTTACTACTCTTAGAATGATAGTCCAACTCCTTACCAAGTCCTTCTTGATTGAGTCCTGCTGATCCTCCCAACCCCACCTTCCCACCTACTCCCCTTGTCATAATCCCAGGGCTGCTTCCTGCCACAGGCTTCTACACATGCTATTCCCTCTGCATGAAAAGTTCTTTCCAGCACTGATAGTTGATCACGGTCCATTAGGTATTGGTTCAAAAGTGTCCCTTCCTCTGATCAGGCCTTCTCTGATCATGCTTATTGACACTGAATCTCCCACATCATCCATGTTTTCAGAACATTTATCATATGTAAAAGGAATTTTTTTTTGTCTTTGATTTTAAATGGAACAAACAAGTTCCATCAGACCTACCTCTCATACTTACTATAATATCCCTAGCACCAAACATAGACTCTAATTAAATCAAATAAATCAAATTCATAAAAGGAAAAAAAATTCTGAGTTAAAGAATTACAATCCTCAATTTTGCTTTTTTTTTTTTTTGTGATCAGCTCATTTGACCTCTTTGTGCATAAGTGCATAGTCTTTATAACTGCAGCAAATGAGGTAATGAACATGGAAACTGAAAAGTAGAAAGCTTTATACAAAATATTTAAAAATTATAACCAACTAGCTCTGAGGTTTAATCACATCCAGATACCTTCTGGTTTTATTTACCTTCTTGTGGTTGTAGATTTCACCGTTGTAACAGAGCCACAAATAAGGATATTTCTTTACTCGAATTGGCTGCATTCCAAACAGCTGGTCAACCACTGCCAACCGATGAAATCCAAAGCAGCAGTTGGTGTATCCATTGACATTCTCAAAACGAAATGCATCTGGACCCCTGTGTGCAATCTTCATAGCACTCAGGCACTGCACAGAAAGGCAGTCATCACTGCCAAAGAGGGCCCAAATCCCACACATGGTGCAATGGAGCTACGGGCTTTCTATGAAGAGAAGAACAGGCCAGCTAAATATTCAATATCCATTCCAAATCTGTATTAAATCTTAATTCCAAAAACTGGCATACACCACTTCAAAGGCTGAAACTTAAACTATCTCATCTACAGCAATTTTCCATTAGGCTGCCAAGCACACAGGAGTTGAGAATGATTTAATTTATGTATAAGCAGGGCACCTGGGTGGATCAGTGGGTTAAGCATCTGCCTTGAACTCAGGCCACGATCCCAGGTCCTGGGATGGAGCCTTGAGTGGGGCTCCCTGCTCAATGAGAGGTTTGCTTTCCCCTCTCACATTGCCCCTCCCTGCCACTCATGCATACACACTCTCTCTTTCAAATAAACAAATAAATTAAATATCTAAATAATAATAATAATAATTTACATATAAGTATTCAGAAAAAATGCATGACCTTTACATCTGGCCAGCTGTAGCAGTCTGGCACCCTGTCAAAGCCTGCATATCTCTCACCTTGAGACTTGGTCAGCTAAGCGCAGAGCAGAGGGAATCATGCCACATTCTAGGTTTACTTTTAAGATAAAGATGCATGTCCAGGCTGGCTCAAATCTAGTAAGATTCCCCATCCCACTCTCTACATCCCACAATCTCAGAGGCCCTCAAAAATCCAAGAGACTCAAAGTACTACCACAGTTCCCTCTGAGGTCTCTCTGACAATCAAATGTCCTGTCTTTACCTGTATGGAGGGTAAAAAAGATCATACATACTTGCCCAAGTGTGATATTAAGATATACAGCTAGTACAAGCATTTCACAACTTCTGGCTTACCTCTAAGTGATCTATTCAAACGTGATGAAAGAAATTCTAAAGAGAAAAAAGAAAGGCATGTTATCTAGGATCAGATATCCTGGCTGTATAACAAAACAAAAAAAAAATTTAGGTTGATAGAGATGCATAATGTTCATCATCAAAATGTTCCAAAAGACAAAAATATTGTAGAATATTTTTGTCTCAAGGTTGCCTTGGTTCATAAGAAAGCAAAGTAAGTGGCACATAAACAGCAACATCATCTCTGAAAAACAACTTGGCCATCCCTATAGGCTAAAAAGCAAACAATTCCTACAAATGTTACCTTGCAATTTCATATTCTCAACTGTGAAATAAAGGGTTGTTTTATCTGGATGCTGCCAGCCAGTTATTTTACCAAAATATCTCGAACTTAGAAACTATTTGAAAAAAAAAAAAAAAAGAAAAAAAAGAAACTATTTGGGAATTTTTAATTCAAAATTGCAGCCAATGCCTAATTTGAGACAAAATTATCAAGAAAATTTATACATTTAAGTTACACCAGTCAGTTTGGACAACCTTCTGAGGGTGTTTATATCTAAGTGAACCAAAGCTTGTTTAGCCTTTTAACAAGACCATATCAAACTGATGAAAAGTGACTCAAACAACTTGGACATGAAGTGGCACATGTCCTATGTAGTCCCTTCCATGCACTTGGCCAAATAGCTTTTTTTTTTTTTAAGATTTATTTATTTATTCATGATAGACATAGAGAAAGAGAGAGAGGCAGAGACACAGGCAGAGGGAGAAGCAGGCTCCATGCCAGGAGCCTGACGTAGGACTCAAGATCACGCCCTGGGCCAAAGACAGGCGCCAAAATGCTGAGCCACCCAGGGATCCCCTGGCCAAATAGCTTCTAATGGAATTTTTGAGATTTAGGGGAAATTCACTTAGATTGAAATGAAAGGACTACTGATAAGCCAGGTTTCACTCTATACCAGTTAAAAATGGACTGAGACAGTGCTTTGAAAATCACAAGAGGGGGACGCCTGAGTGGCTCAGGGGTTGAGCGTCTGCCTTCAGCTCAGGGTGTGATCCTGGGATCAGGGATCAAGTCCACATCAGGCTCCTTGTAGGGAGCTTGCTTCTTCCTCTGCCTGTGTCTCTGCCTCTGTGTCTCTCATGAATAAATAAATAAATAAATCTAAGAAAAAAAGAAAAGAGAATCACAAGAGGTCATTACTGAATCATTTACCCGTCTTCCTAATGCGGCTTAGTGAATTCCACTATTAAGTCTACTATAAGGAACACACATTAAGCACTAAATTAGAGGAGCAAGAAGGGGAACACACATTAATTAGGAAGCACACTTCCTTCTGCAGCAGGAAAAAGCAAATTAAAACTATTACCTATTTTTGTTGGAATCTTACTTGCAAAGGTCCTACTTGCGTGCTTTTTCCTTCTGCTATTACCTGTTCCCAGGAATTTTCTGTATTTCCTCATAAACTTCCAGAACAGTGCTGTCCAGTAGAAACGTGAGCTACATATGGCATTTTAAAAACACTAGTAGCCCCATTAAAAAAGTAAATAGAAACAGGGAAGATAACTTGAAATATGTTTTAACACAATATACCAAAAATAGTATTTCAATAGGTAATCAGTATAAAAAATTATCAAGATACATTGCCTTTCTCTATTTAAATCGTCAACATCTGGTGTGTCTTACACCACACTTCAATCTGAACGAGTCAGCATTTCAAGTTCTCAGTAGTTACATGTGGGCTGAATTGGACAGTGCTGCTTCGGGGCATTTCATTTCGACGCTGCTTACCAACTACCTCACCATATTGTTTTATTTTTGCATTAAGATATCAGCAACCAACTCCTGGACAGGCTCAAGACTTAAGTCATTAAAAAAAAAAAATCTTACAGCAATCTGATTGATCAATGAGAAAAGGGTCATGAGTGCTCTTAAATGGTTAGTCAAGGCACCCAGGGCAATGGCCTATGAAGAAATAATATAGGCCAAGGGCCCAGAAGAAAACGGTCCTTTTATTCAAAAGAGTAACATTAATCTGAAACTAGCCCTACAGAATAGATACCCATTGAGAAAGGCAAGTTAGTTCTTTTGCTTTTTTTCCATGCCACTCCGCCTGTCGCCCTGACAGATCTCTTCTGGGTGAGGTTGGCTCAAGTCACTTGTTGAGTCCTGCAGTCTGGTGGGGAGGGTGGGGAGAGGGAGGGGAGGAAACGGGTGTGGCGAGCCGGGTGTGGCGAGCCGGAGGTGAGGGGCAAGGACAGACCCTTAGGCTTTGACAGACAGCTCGGGGATCAGGACCCAAAGGCTGCGCCGCCCGAAACTCCGACTGCACCGCAGCCACGTGCAGCCGCTGGCCGCTTCCCCGGACTGCGAGCATCTCCACAGGCTTCGATGCAATATAATTACAAACTGTAAGATGTACCGGGGCCCGAGTGGGCCGCAGCAAGGTCTTCGCTGCCCCGCGGGGCTCCCAGGTGCGCCACAATCGGCCCCGCCCCCTCGAGCGGCCGGAGCCGCAGCGCGGGCAGGCGGCGGCCGCCTCCGGCCCGGGGCGCGCAGGCCCGCAGCAGCGCCTCGGCCGCCTCCTCGGCCTCCCGCCCCCTCCCCGGGGCGGCCCGGGCCACGCCGGGGGGGCGCTGCGCTGGGCGGCCGGGCCTGGCTTACCTGGGCTCCGGCGGGTGGGTCGGCGGGGAGGCGCCAGGTAGGGGCTGCAGATTGCGGGCGGGGCGGCGGGCCTCCTCGGCTTTATCCCGGCCTCGCTCCTGTAATGCTTGCGGGAAGTTTCATCATGTCTGTGAGCGCCAACCAGCGCGCAGGGGCGTGGCCCACAATGCGAGACCTTGGCAGGGCGGAGCAGCAGCGGGAGCAAGGAGGGACTGCTCCGTTCCAGCTCCTTAAAGTGTTAGCGCACCTGCTGAAGGAGAGCCTCAGAGGGCTAGCCAGGTGCCCCACTGACACCTAGGGTGACCTTACCTGCTCTTCTGGCAATTAGGAGGTCTTCTGCCCTTGGCTTGTTCTTTGGGAAATCATCGCCAAATTGATCAGTGTCCCCTTCGCAGCACATCTCCCTCATATCCTTAATTGCAAAGTTTTTAGGTGTACAGGTATCCACTGCTTTTCTAAAGTTCACGCTGTGCCCCTTTGCTCTAACAAAAAGGCCCGCATTGGTACCTGTTTTTGCTACCTGAAAGAAATCAGAAGAGGATTTTTGCTTTTAGGGGGGAAAGGCGAAAAATGAATATAGTGTTCAGTATTTATTTGGCAGCCAGCATGGATGGAGCAGCAAGAATGGCACTGCCAAGTTCCCTCCCCAGATCTGCACTCAGCATCAAGGTGCCCTAGCTTTGAACAATGTCTTAGAGCATCTGTACTTTATCTCTATTTATATCGTGCATTCGTTAGCAGGATGTGTCCTAAGGTGTCAGAAAGGCCTAAGAGAGGTTATTTTGGGGATCTAAGAAAACCCATTTTCCATGTAAAGTAATGAATGGTAACTGCTTCTTCATTTTATGTCATTTCGGCCTACAAAATCTTTCATAGGAACACTCTACTTTGAGATAACAGGGAAACCTGTACTTCAGTTTCCCCTTGACTCCTAAGAGAGCATCTGATACATAGACGTGTATGTATACATACAGAAAGATCTGTCCTATTAATAAATAATGGGGCAGATGGGAAGAGCTGGAAGGATATCATCTTTTTATTAACTATGAGGTAGATTTCACTGTCTTCTACCTCAGACGTAATCAAATTTCTCCCCCCTCTGGATATCAGATCAGTGAATTTTTATTTTGTGTTGGATCATCATCAAACTTGTGATGCCGTTATATTCGCCTTCAATTAGATTGTCACTTTCCTGGTTGTGTTGACTTGACCTTTTGAGCCTCATTAGCAGCTCAGTGGATACCACTAGGTAGATTCTCAAACCTGTATTCAATTGGATTCAATTCTTCATCATATTTTGTCATTGACAAATGTCAGTTTCAGGAAAGGATGGAGTTCCAGTCTGAATTTTACCACTAACTACTTCTATAACCATAGGTATGTCCTATAACTTCTCTAGGTTTCCATCTTGAAAGGAAAGTAGAGATTGCCAGGGGTCATTCCAGCCCTAAAATTCTAAGCACTAAAGTGATGAGCATTCTGTAGAACCCTAGCACCCAAGAAGGAAACTTTTTTTCCATCCCCACAATATCATGTCTTTTTGAAACTCAAAATAACTTTACAATCTGGATAATTTTACATTAGGCTCAGTTAGAATTATCCAAATTCACTCACCTGCTATTTGTAGATCCAGGATGTGAAATCAGGTTCATCTGGATCCACAGGACATTCTCTTCTGATCATATTCTGCCTATGGAATAGGTTCACAAGAAGAACTGGGTCATACCAGAGATACTGACAGAAGAGCAAGGATTCTCTCTTATGTTTGCTAAACATGAATGATTTACATTCAGAATCAAATATATGTTCTTTTCCAGATTTCATCCCCACTCTTATATTGGAACATTACCCTAAAATTAGATCTTTTTCCTTTTTATTATCTGCACTAGAGTTTGAAAGGGAAGACTCTCCATTTTAAAGGCATTGTTGAACTCGTACCAGTACTGCCCTCAAATTTGTTACACAGTACAGGGAAAGACTCGTCCTCAGAAATCAATTTTTTTCTTTTTTTTTTAAGTTTTTATTTTAATTCCAGTTAGTTAACATACAGTGTTAGTTTCAATTGTACAATACAGTAATTCAACAAGCCCATACATCACCCTGTGCTCATCATGACAAGTGTACTCCTTAATCCCTAACACCTACTTACTCCATCCTCCCACCCACCTCTCTCTGGTAACCATCAAATTATTCTCTATAATTAAGAATCTCTTGCTTTGTCTCTCTATTTTTTTCCCTTGTTTCTTCTTAAATTCCACATTAGTGAAATCACATGGTATTTGTCTTTCTCTGACTGACTTATTTTGCTTAGCATAATACTTCTAACCCCATCTATGTCATTGCAAATAGCAGGATGTCATTCTTTTTTATGGCTGAATAGTATTTCATTGTATATATACCACATATTCCTTATCTATTCATCAGTCTATGGACACTTGGGCTGCTTCTATATCTTGGCTATTATAAATAATGCTGCTATAAACATAAGAATGTATGTATCCCTTTGAATTCTAGCATGATTGCTTCATGATCATAAGGTAGTTCTGTTTTTAACTTTTAAGGAACTTCTATACTATTCTCCACAGTGGCTGCACCAGTCTGCATTCCCACCAATAGTATAAGTGTTCCTTTTTCTCCATATATTCTTCAAAACCTGTTTGTGTTGTTGATTTTAGCCATTCTACAGGTGTGAGGTGGTATCTCATTGTAGTTTTGATTTGCATTTCCATGATGGTAAGTGATGGCAAACATCTTTTATATGTCTTTTGACCGTCTGAATGTCCTCTTTATTTAGACATTGGACAATCCTCATTGTTCATATCTTCTGACTATTTTTAATTAGATTATTTGGTTTTGGGGTGTTGAGTTGTTTAAGTCCTTTATATATTTTGGATACTAACCCTTTATTGGATATGTCATTTGCAAATAAATCTCCCATTCAGCAGGTTGCCTTTGGTTGATTGTTTCCTTTACTGTGCAGAAGCTTTTCATTTTGATGTAGTCCCAATAGTTTATTTTTGGTTTTGTTTCCCTTGCCTCAGAAGACTTATCTTGAAAGATAAGCCTATGCCAAAGAATTACTGCTGGTGTTCTCTTCTAGGATTTTTATGGTTTCGCATTTCCCATTTAGGTCTTTAATCCATTTTGATTTTTCTTTTGTGTATGGTATAAGAAGTGGTCCCATTTCATTTTGTATGTTGCTGTCCAGTTTTCCAAACACCATTTGTTGAAAAGACTATCTTTTTCCCATTGAATATTCTTTCTTGCTTTGTCGAAGATTAATTGACCATATAGTTGTAAGTTTATTTCTGGATTTTCTATTCTGTTTTATTGATCTATGTGTCTATTTTTGTGCCAGTAATATATTGTTTTAATTACTATAGGCTTGAAATATAACTTGAAGTCCAGAATTGTGATACTTTCAGCTTTGCTTTTCTTTTTCAAGATTGTTTTTGCTATTCAGGGCCTTTTGTGGTTCCATACGAATTTAAGACCATGAAAAATGCTGTTGGTATTTTGATAGGAATTGCATTAAACCTGCAGATTGCTTTGGGTAGTAGAAATGTTTAACAATATTTGTTCTTCCAATCCATGAGCGTGGAATGTCTTTCCTTTTCTTTGTGTTATCTTCAATTTCTTTCATCAGTGTTTTATAGTTTTCAGAGTACAGGTCTTTCACCTCTTTGGTTAGGTTTATTACTATGTATTTTATTATTTTCAGCGCAATTATAAATAGAATGGTCTCAAAAACCAAATGTCTTTAGAAAATATAAACCAGGCAGCCCCGGTGGCACAGCGGTTTAGCGCCGCCTGCAGCCCAGGGTGTGATCCTGGAGACTGGGATGGAGTCCGGAGTCCGGTTCCCTGCATGGAGCCTGCTTCTCCCTCTGCCTGTGTCTCTGCCTCTCTCTCTGTGTGTGTCTCTCATGAATAAATAAATAAAATATTAAAAAAAGAATCCAGAAGATCTATGTTAAAAAAAAGAAAGAAAATAATATATTAGTGTTCCTAAACATCTTAAGTATGAGATTCCGTTTAGAATCACAGAAAAGTTTCTCTTGACCTCACCCCAAAAGATAGTGGGTTTTTAGTATTCTTTTGATAGAGTAAAAAGTACCATGATTAAAAACAAAACAAAACCAATAATATATCAAGACTTCATACCACTCTCAAATAAATTCGTACTTTATTAGTCACATCAGCACCAAAATAAACTGATAAATAGTAAAATGTGTAAGACACACTAAGATCTTATACAGTCAATGGTTATAGAGTACACAGGTTTGAAATCCCCCTACGGTACACTGCCAACTAGTTTACAGATTGCCAAGAATATAAATTCCACACAGAGCGTGTAGTGAACATTTAGTAGTTGACAAGCAAGACCAAAGATGGTAGATGACTAAGTTCTAAGGTTCCTTAGAACTTTAGCCAACTATGATTTTGCCGTATCCTAATCTACATAATAGGTCCGAAAGCTGAGAACAATGTGGGAAAGAAGGTATTCTATCCACATATTACCAATGTAAAACTAAGAATCAGAGAAGTTGAAGGATTTAGCCAAACAGTCTGGATTAAATTATCAAGAATGGAATCATAACCTGTATAAAACCCAGAGCCTATTTCCTTTACCACCCTGTCTATGTAGTGGAAGACATATTTGATAGGTTATCTAGGGTCATTTGTTTTTTAGATTATCTTCTACTTGTATGTCCAGAGCCACTCCATCCTTTCCCACTTCACTTTGTGGCCTGGCTCCCTTACCCTCCTCTTCTTATGGAAGTGTCCAAAGGGAAACATAGAGGATGAAAGGGAGAAGTCCCAGGGTAGTTCCTCCTGACTCCTTCACTACAAAATTCCTCTCCTCAAGGCCACAACTTCTGGCATCTGGCCTTCTCCATACCATCTTCTCCTCAGAGTCCAGCAACTTCCTTCCTCTTCCCCTTCAGGCCTAGCCTTAGGGTACTGAACCATCTTGCTTTTCCAAAATTCTGCCCATGCTTCTATAATAACTGTCAATTGGAGTGTGACACCTGCTTCCTATCAGAACCCTACCCAATACATTGATCTAGGATATAATGGAGAATGCTGTGAACTTAACTAGAGTAGAAAATGATTCACATCCTCTCTTAATTATTGGACACAAATGAGAACTAAATTATGTTGGCCTATTTTCCCACATTTTACCCACCCTTGTATTGAAACCTCACTCTAGGATAAGACTGGGAACTTTCAACATTTTTTTATCTGAGTCATAGAGGGATCAAATAAAACCCTCCTCTGTCAAGTAAAATGGTTTGGCTAGTTCTCCGTCTCAAAAGTGTAATTGACAATACAAGATTGCACTTGTTCAGTCCTGAGAGCATTAATTAAAGTTTTTTAAATTCTTTTAAATAACTGTTAAATTGGTTTTCTTCACTGGATTTGTTTTTGGATTTTTTTATAGATTGGTCTATTTTCTAGAATTAAAAAAATATATAGTAATAAGACAACCCCATAATGGTAGCTCCCCCTTGGTATTCTTTGATTTAAAAATGTACATAATAATAAAAAAGCTTCATTGATATTAAGACACTTTAAAATAAGATTGCATTTTATTCAGCCCAATATACCTTTGTAAAAGTATTTGTTGATGAGTTTGACATGTTTATGGTCCATAGAAAATGCTATAAAACCATTCAGATTTGCCAACTCTTATCATAACTCCAAAGCTACCCAGAAGCCCATGAGTCACATGTTAGGTAACACTGAATTAGAGTTTCAACTAGTTTATAAGCCCATCCCATATCACCCTGCAAAATAGGAAATGCTTCTAGAGCAAGCCATGTGATTAGCACTTCCCTAAATACTAGATGAATTATCAGCAAGAGTGCTACCTTTAGATCCCAGTAACCAAACCCATTGAGCTTTCCACTGGACATGACCTGCCCACTCAGGGGGGAATTTAGGATGTCACCACGGGTGAGCTCTCAAGGTATAGTATGGAGTCAGAGGAAGACAAAAATGTAGCTGGATCCTCCATCTCTTGCCCTGTCCTGTAAATGTTAGTCACTGGCCTTCTCAGCAGCTTATGAGTCTATTTCCCTGCCATCTGACCTATTTTTTATAATTCTTGAAATGCAATTTGAAATAGGACTTCTGATCTTTACTTCTATACCCTACTTTTCTTCTATTTTCACAGAAATTCCCCTGTACCTACATTTAAATCTGCAGGGTAAACAGTAATATGGAAAATTCTGAAAATTCCAAATTCCATAAAAATTCATGGATCTATTTGATCTGTCATTCTAAGATATGTTACTTAGCCTCCGACAACAAAAAAGGAAATATTAACGCCAATTGGGTTCATATGTGTTTTGTAGAACCACAGATTTCATAGAACTGGAAACTATCTACTCTTTCAACAAAACATTTATATAGTCCCAAATACAAGAATACTGGTATATAAAAAGGAACAAGAAAACACTGTTAAATCTGAAAAAAAATGAGAGTCTCTCCTATGAAATATTAAAACTCTATGAATATAAAACTTACTGGGAATTTCCACTAGTTTAGAATCAGAATAAAAACTGATATGAAGAAGAATAGAGGGCATTGAACATATAAAACACCATTCAAATTTGACTTTGCACAGCAGATGACATGAACAGAGACTGATATTTAAGATAATATGAAGTCATTTATTGAGTACCTCCAAGCTGCAATGTATTTTATATATTTTTTCACTCTATAGACTAGTCATGGAGAATAATTATTCTTCTTTTGACAGTTAAAAGAAGTGGCTCAAGAATATAAATTAACATATCCAACACTGAACAGTTAACAAGTGGCTGAGCCAAGGGTCTCAAACCCAGCATGATGACTTGAGAACTTCCATCCCTGTCTGAGAAGTTGCTTAACAAGCAGACCAGGTAGAGAGAGCCCTTTCAAGAAACAGCAGTAAGACATGAAAAGTCCCACTGTGTCCCCCTAAGGTCAGCTAGAGAAAGTACATTTGGACCTTGAACAACAACTGGTTTGAACTATGTGGATCCACTTATACACATATTTTTTAATACAGTACTATAAATGTATTTTCTAATGATGTCCTTAACATTTTCTTTTCTCGAGCTTACTTTATTGTAAAAATACAGTATATGACACATATAACATGTAAAATTTGTCTTAATTGGCTATTTTATGCTATGGGTAAGGTCAACAACAGACTATTAGTAGGTAAGTTTTTGAGCGTTACAAGTTATACCAGATTTTCAACTGTGTGGGGGAGTCAATTGTGCCCCTAAAACCCATGTTGTTTAAGAATCAACAGTATACAGAACAAATGGAAAAAGCCAATGAAGATGAAAAGATTCCATTTTAAGAGAGCAAGAGTAAATGGAGTAGGGTAGCCACAAGAAATGGGCAGAATGCATGCATTTGGAGAAAAAAAGGCTATTCATACTTTTAGAACAGGAAAGGGGGAAAAATGATGGTGTGGTATTGGTAAGCCTAAAGGAAAAGGAAAGAGAAGCAGAGAGAAAATAAACAAGTTAAGTATAACAATGATGATAAAGAAGTGCTATGGAGAAGAAAAGGAATTGAGGGAGGATTATAATTTTTATGATAACTTTTACTTATAGCCCTCCATTTTCCCTAAGAAATAGAAATCACATTGTCTATGGTACTGAAAGGTTTGGGTCATGGTGATGGTGCAGTTTCAAATAATAGCCAAATGTCAACAAAAATTGCTGAGGGAAAAAAAGGTGGTCGAGCAACATGGAGGTCCAGCACAGGAGGACAATATAAGCATGAATGTGACTGGGGCAATAAGGGAGGGCATATCCTCCAATGAGTTGGGGCAATTCAAAACTTGGGGTCAAGGCATAGAGGGGAATGGATCCAGGCTCTGGGTTGGGTAGAGCATGTATAGCGCGAAGAAAAGAGGGCATGAGATTGTGCACCTATGAGTATTGATAGGGACAGCCCTTTTAGTAAACACTGTTATTGTTCAGAAATATTCAGTGCCCCTCCCTGGGGGAGGCTTATACCATTTCTAGCCCATTGACATAAGGGTTAACCACGTGACTTGCTACTGCCAATGAAATGTGAGCAGAAGTGACAGGTGTCTCTTGTGAGCAGAAACTTTAGGAGCCATCATTATGCTTCATGACATCCTCTTTTCCCTCTGCTAGGAATCTGGCAGTGTTCCAGAGGCAAGCAACTCTGCTAGCCCAGAATGAAATACGTGGAAAGAGACCACAGCTTACCCATGAGGAGCATGTTTTCTGCTTACAGGTGTCTGAGATTTGGGGGTCTTTTGTAACTGCAGCATAACCCACTCTAACCTGACAAGCAAAGCTTGAATGTTTTAGGTTGGAAGGGAAAGTAGTAAAGTCAGAAGTTAGCTAATTTATTAGAAGACTAACAGGGGCTAAAGGATTAGAGACTGGGTTGTAGGCTAGGGAAGTATAGGAATAAGAATAGATGAACTAGATGTTTTTATGGAAAAGGAATGTATAATTTTAATGTGTAAAATAAAATAGTGAATGCAAGATTACTTATCCCAGGCTCCTGAACACAATCAGCATTAAGTAAACAAACATCCTCCCCAAATATAATTCCCCTGTTCCTTCCGCTATGTCCTGTCTGGTAAAGATGATTACTAGATTAGGAATTAGCAGTCTTGGAATAAAAGGGCCCCCAAAACAGAGTCAAACAGCAAATCTTGAAGCTTGACAAAAACATCCACTCTTCTCCCACCACCTCTCTTACTGCATTGCACCCCAGACCACTGGTATTCTTGTTCTTGAACATAACAGACAATGGTAAATAGGGTTTTTAGCTGCCAAAAGTTGGACTTATGCTAGAAACCGGATTTACCCCTTTTCCTTCTTGTGGAAGTTATGCATATTGAGGTTGTCAGGGCAGAAAATCATGGTTTCATTTCTTCATTAAACTAACAATATACATGGAGCATCTACTATATTTGGGAACGTGGAGCTTACACTCACCATACAGAGGAACAGAGAAAATCAATGAGATACAGAAGCACAATACATAGGTAAGGGTAAGTATGTGCTATGGAGAAAAACAGCAGAGAAGAAAGATATCATACTGCCGCCCTGTTGTTGCATTATATCACTCTATAATTAGTCTTATATTTGGTTTTCACATGTAGCAAAATATTATGAGCATCTCTCCAAAATGAAGCTGAACCAGAGTTCACATTTCTCAGTGAAAATTCCTCAGAAGAGTCATCCAGTCGTCCTTCCCTGAGGCTTGTCAGATATGCTCAATTATCCCACCACATTCACCCATCACTACTCTAAACAATGCCCACCAAATGGGAAAGAGTTTATTGGATTCCAGCCATAAGCACAGCTTTGCAGCAGCTGAAGATTCATTACACCCTTAATCTAATTTTGGGCACTGTGAAAGGACCCAATCTAATACTTCAAAGCAAGGGCTTTAACACCATAGTGGAGACCAGTGCTTCCCAGAAGGATACAAGTTCAAATGGCATTCACTACTGCATCTACAGCCCAGAAAGGTTGAAAACAACAATCATTGGCTATTGAAGCTGCTTTAATGGCCTGGAAGCAGGACCATTAAGAAAGTAGCACAAAAAAAAAAAAAAAAAAAAGAAAGAATGAAAGAAAGAAAGAAAGAAAGAAAGAAAGAAAGAAGAAAAAAGGAAGAAGGAAGAAAGAAAGAAACTAGCACCTAATAAAAGCTATACTGAGACCACCCAGACCGATTGTGGCAGATCTAGAAATTACAGTTGTAGTTTCTACTTATTGAGGACATTTTGGGTCTTTTCTAAGAGACTTATTTTTTACCTACTGTTAATGTCCAGGCAAACACTGTGGCTTGGAAGTTGGACTCTAAAGGCAGCGTCACCCTCAGGAAATGCTTCAGACTGAGCATATGTCAGCCATCAGGTCCCAGTACAGACAGAAAAATGCAGCTTCCCGGGCATCTGACCATAATCCATAATATCTGGTGGAAACACAGAGGTAAGGAAGGCTGAGAAGGGATAATCAGGGCAAACAAATAACAGCTTCAAATATAGGCTTACCTATGAGGTCAACTCTGTCCATTTGTGTTTCTGAATATAGTATGCAAAGGACTTGATGTAGTGGATAGAATGGTGGCACCCAAAATATCTGCCTAAATCTCAGAATCTATGAATGTGACTTTATTGGGAAAAGGGTCTTTGCAGATGTAAGTTAAAGATCTCAACACAAGATCATCCTGGATTTTCCAGGAAGGCCTTAAATCCCATGACAAGTGTTCTTATAAAAGATGCATGGGGAGAAACAGAGAAGAAAGCCATGTGAAGACAGAGGCTGAGATGGCAGTTATACAGCTACAAACCAAGGAACACCTGATGCTACCAGAAGATGGAAGAGGCAAGGAAGGATTCTCCCCTAGAGACTTGGAGGGAGTTTGGTCCTGCCAACACCCTGATGTCAGATTTCTGGCTTCCAGAACTAAAAGAGAATTTCTGTTATTTTAAGGCACCCAGTTTGTGGTAATATATTATATGAGTCCTAGGAAATTAATACACTTAGTGATTCTCTTTAGCTTGACCCTACTCTAGATGTCCCTCTCCAAGAAAAGAGGCCCAAGCAGCAACATCTTTCTCAATCCTAAATTCCTCTATAATTCTCATGGCCTCTACTTCAGATGTGCTCTCCACCACATTCAAGGTGTTTCCCTGCACTCCACTCACCCCACAACTACCCAAATCTGGAGCAAAGTACCTAATCATGAAAGAGATTCTCCATCCTCATGGACTATTCAACCACTTGGCCTCCAACCTTCCATTCTAACACATGCTCCAATTTGGCAACACATTCAAAACTGTCAATGCAATTATCCTCCTGCCCAATGCCCAGACATGTGCAGACAAGGTGAATCAGCAGGTGCCCTTATGATACACCCCCTACAGACACCACGGTTCTTCCACCTGCTCAGCCTCCACAGAAGCGGCATACAGCAAACTGCTCTTTTCCTCCTACAGAATAGCCATTTCCCTAAATATTATTTCTCCCTCTACCTTTTCTCAACTCTCCACTCTTTTTCACACAGTTCAGAGCTGAGCGCAATACTTGGCACATATAAGGCATGCAATAAGCACTTGCTGGTTGAATGGGAGCCAGATGGATTTGGAGCTTCCAGAAAGATATTCTAGAAACTAGTGCATGAAGAAATGCTTTAAAGACCTTCTCACTGGCACTGCTGCCACTGGCCTCCTAACACACTGGACAACTCTCTTTAGCTTGACCTTATCCTTGATGCCTGTCACCTAGTGATGACAAAAGCCTGTTTTGGCCTCTTCCTGTTGGTCACACAGGTACAGGTTAAATTTTGCTTCCAGTGAATGCTTCCTGTCAGAGTCGTCTATGAAGTGAAAAAACAAAAAAAAAAAATCAAGCACAGCCCCTATTGTCTCTACCTTCTGGCTACGCATCTATCCCATTTCTTTTTCCTCCATTTGGCCTCCCTGGTTACAAACCTTAGTTTCAAATTTTAGAACCCTTGGCTTTTAATTAATGTTTGAACCAGCTTGTCTACCTAATGTTGTTTTCACAAGCTCTCATGCTACCCTTTGGGAGAGAAAATCAGAGTAACATAATTATACAGATCAAATATAGAATCCTGGCAACACCACCTTCAAGCTATGTGACCTTGAGCAAGTTCCCTCTGACCCTTAATTCTTTCACCTGCCAGAAAATAAGGCATGAACTTTGCAGGGTTTTGTTTTGTTTTAATTTAGAAATACTGAGAGGATTAAAGAACTGCAGAATAGCTGAAACAAAAGTTCAAAATATGATTATTATTGGACTTACCTTAATATTCACATTGTATATTGCAGAAAGGAAGTCTTGAAGAACCCTGGGCAGCCTTGCCCACTCTTCCAGACCTGGAGAGATGAACAGGTCACTTCAACTATACCCAGATGTTTCTACAATTCTACCTCACTAGACTAGGATGGAAATAACCAAGATCATAAGAGAAGTTTGAAAACACTCGTTTGAAACATAGTTAAAAAAAAAGTAACTGGAGTGCCTTAGTAGCACAGTCAGTTAAATGCCCAATTCTTGATTTCGGCTCAGGTCATGATTTTAGGGTCATGAGATTGAGCCCCATTTCAGGCTCTGTGCTTAGCAGGGAGCCTGCCTGGGATTCTCTCTCTCCCTCTCCCTCTGCCCCCTACCTCTTGCTCTCTCTCTTACTTTCTCTCACTATCTCTCTTTCAAATAAATAAATAATTTTTAAAAAGAGAAAAAGTATTTTCTTAGCCTTTCATTGTATCTATTAGAAATGTGACTTTCTAGTTTTATATATAGCAGATGTCACTCAAAATGTTTTACAAAAATATATCAGTTGTACAACATTGTGAATGTACTAAATGGCACTGAATTGTACACTTTAAAATGGCGAATTTTATATTATGTGAATTTTACTTTAACAAAAAACATAATTTTTTAAAAGATGCGGAAACTGATGTTGTCATCAACATCAGAATGTTGACTTGAGGATCATTTTTTACAAACACAGATTCTGATTCTGTAGGTCAAGGTGGAACATGGTTATTAACATCCTTTAAAAAGCTCCCTTAATGATTCAGATGATCCAGAGTTAAGAACCATTGATTAATAACTTAAAATATCTCAAACTAGACAAGGAAGAGAGATGAGAAATTGCACCTTCTACAAAAAGACAATTATCTGGCTAACAAGGTATGATTCTGAGGACATTCTTTTTGTTTCATAATTTCTATTATTGGGGTTACAATAAAGTTTGAACTATATGCACTTACCCATGCAAGTCACACTTTCCTGTGGATCTTCATTCATTTCACTTTTAGGAATAGATATCTGCTTGAGGTCTCAGAGCAAGCAAAAGGTAGGGGCAAGCTTGGGAGCCATGAGGGGAGGAAAAATAATCCCATGGCACCTCCTGGATTCGCTTCATCCAGTTCCATTCAAAAAAATCCCAAAGCCCAGTCCAGCATTCCACTGTATCCTGATGGGAGGTAGGCAGTGGGGATGTGAACTTTCCGAGTCTCTTCAGTTCATCAGAGTGCTCTGAGATCTAGAGGAGAGAGAGGTACAGAGGTGCAACAAAGGTGCTGCATGCAGTGCTCTACTGTCCTCAACCTTCCCTCTGCCTTCTCCCAAGTCATTCCCTGCACCCCTCCATATCTGCATGTCTGGCATGTGAATGCAGACTTCATATTATTACCTTTCTGAAAGCACTTGCCACTACCAGGAAGATTCCACCGTACACAAGAGGATGGGATGAGGAGGAGTGGATGACAGGAAGGGATGGAAAAGGGAGAAAAATATTAAACCTACATCTATGAGCCAGACCATAAGAAAAAAGGGAATCTAAATTAAACAAACAAACAAACAAACATATACACTCAGAAACCAACCAACTGGCCTCTATTTCTCGTGTTGAAGAAAGGAACTTCATCCTTGCTATTAAGAGGTTGCCCAGTTTCCTGTTATGTAAGAGAAGGTGCTTCCGTATTTCTTTGCATTTCTTTTGGGGATAAAATCACTACTTGGTATGATTATTGTCTTCCACATTTTATTTCCCCTTCATCTTTTAATTGTAAACTCTGACTTTTCAAATCACTCAATTACTACCTGGCAGACTTGCTACTGCATAAATACTTATTGAATTGTGAAATGGTGAGTTGGAGTGGAATAAATCAGAAGACTAGAATGTTCTCTTTTCACTGTAACAGATTTGATGAAATTTTCCTTGTAGTGCACAGGAAAATTACATTACATTCTTACGTAGTATATTCTTACATTGAATGTAAGAGAAGTGTGTCCTACTTCTCTTAGAGCTGATGTCCCAGCCTTATGTTATTGAGTTGAGGAAGGAGTCTGGTACCAAGTGGTGAGCTCCTAGTAGCTCCATTAAATCATATTAACAATGCTACGTTAGGAGACTAGAATATTGTGGTCTACTCCCAGATACAGAAATAGTTTATGATGTGTTTCTTGGCAATTCACGCAATCTTCTTGGGTTTCCACATTTGTACAAAAAAAAAAAAAAAAAATAGGGCTGAACTACATAAACTTCCTGATCCCTTCTAGTCTTAGAGCTCTAATTGCTAAAACTAAATGGATGTGATCTACTTAGGGAATTTGAGTGTAGGAGAAATTAACACTTATTGACCTTTACTCCCAAGAACCCTCATATTTACATTGCAAATACGATTTTTCCTCCATTTAAAGATAATTGAGAATCAGAGATAAGATGGGACTTGCTCATGATCATACAGTTATCCAGGAATAGATCCCAAATGGATCTGAACCCTCATTCCATTCTCTGCCACCCCACGTAGCCCCTTATTCAGGAGATTGATCTCTACAAGAGGATAGTCCTTTTTACTGCAGGACCCAACAAGCGCAGGTTGTGCAACATTAAAATACAGTATATTATTTAACATAATATTTTTTCCAGGCTTCGCTTGCATTTTTTATTGGAAACTTACAAATGACCAGATGTATTTTTTTATTATTTTAATTGAAAACAAGGAATTCACACCATAATAAAGATGCATTTTTTTTATTATTTTAATTAAGAACACAGAATTCATCCCATTCCCATTTCCGAAAGCCCCTGGTGTCAGTATCCCCATCTTCTCCCACCCCCATGTATGCATCTCCACTCTGTCACTCATATATTACTCAAGTTTATCATGTAAAATTAATGTCCCCTAGGTATAGAATCTACATCCAGGAAACAGCTCTGGCTAGGAATATTAATTAAGAGCTTTTATGTGAAAATGACCTAGTTCGCATGTAGTTATGAATAAGAGTGTCTTTTCACATCAAAAACTGAACAGTTTCACATAACAATAGTTGTACATTTAGTTACTCATTGAGAGAAATAAGTTAAAAGCCACTTAAATGTAGTAAAGGTTCTGAAACTCATTTTGTTTTCTTCAGCATAACAGCATCTACGTACATCTTAAAATATAACTCTTCACATATGATCATGATATTTCTCATAGGCAAGGCAGGGAAGGCCAATTATAGCATGAGAATATAAGGATAATGGAAATTATAGTGGAGGTGACAAGGGCCATGAGAAGTTTTTAAGTGGAAAATGGAATGATCAGATTGACTTTTTCAAAAGCTAACCTTGCTGGCTGTGAAGAAAACTAGCTGCAGTGGGAGCCCAGTGGCAGGAGGTCAATTAGAAAGCAGAGAATGTCAGCAGCACTGGGGTGCAGAGGGACCTCTGCCATAACTTGGGGGATGAGGAACATGGACATGAGGGAGAGGGCAAATCCAGAACATTGAAGTCTTGGGTAATGGGCTGAAGGAGAAACCATGATAAGAAATAAAGACAATCAGAGGAAGAGATATTAAAATAGAGACATTTGGACAGTTAGGAAGAGTTTGGAATGAGGAGCACAGAATATTGAGTTTAGCATAGTATCTATTAAGATAGAAATGCCTGAGCTACATTTATTAGGCAGTTGGATGGATGCACCAAATTGTAAACTCAAGTAATCTGAGAGTTTTAAAAGACAATAAAACACTGTAGACATAACGTCAGCTTTAGAGTTAAATACACAATGGGTTCAATCAAAGCTCTGCCATTACTAATTCTGTGAGATTGGATAAAATTTGGAGACTTTCTGAGCATAAACTTCCTCATTTGAAAATGAAGACATGTTCAATATATATTGAAACATACATTGTAATAATCAACTGAATATTTGTTGTGGACTGAATGAGACAAAGCAGATATATCAGTGAGCAAAGTGCCTAGCAGATGTTAGTAATTGTTCCGTAATGTTATATGCTACTTTGACTACATAGGTTATTGAACCACAAATAAAGGTAGGAATTGAAGACAGAGGTTTGGACCTGATAAACCTGGAAGTACACGAGAGAAGATATTTAAAGGCAGGGCCTTAGGGATGCCAACTCTGGAGGATCAGGCACAGTTGGAGCAGCCAACAATAGATTGAAGGCATAGAAGGGAAAAGGAGAATCAGGAGAGTATTGTGGCCTGGAAGCCAATGGAAATAAGCAACAAGTAGGGGGATGGATCAGAATCATTGAATTAAGAAGTTATGGAGCAGAAAAATAAGTTACATTTGCTCATAAGGAGGTCTTTGTTGACCTGAACAAACAGTACTTTGATGAAAGAAAGAGTAGAAGCAATACTTAGAGACAGCACTTAGCTTTCCTATAAGCTTGAAGGCTTTATTAATAAAAAGAAATATATAATTCTAAGAGAGAGAATATAATCTAGTTTTAAAACAGTAAGGGGTTAATTAATAGTATTAACACAGCTGAAGTGAATCTTTCCCCTCATTTGGTGATCTTGCTGTTATGTTTCCCATCTTAGCAAAAACAAACACGAACACATTCTTGACTCTGTGACACTACCTCTTCCTCTGCCTATTGCTCCTTTTCTCTCTTTACCTTCAATGGTGAATCTCTTCCAATAGTTGATCTCAATTCCCCATTTCCAGGGTTCTTCGGTTCCCTCCTAAACTCACCCCTAAAGAATTTGTCTCCCACATTCTACCAAAATTACCTGTAATCCCCACATTGCAAAAATCCAAAAATCATTCCTCAGTCATCACCTCAGTTGACCTGTCACCAATATCTGATAGAGTTAATCAGGGAGAGGAAGAAGCAGTCTCCCCACTGAGCAGGCAGCTTGACATGGGGCTTTATCCCACACAGGGATCATGACCTGAGCCAAAGGCACACAACTGACTAAGCCACCCGGACACCCCGATCACTATCTTCACTTTAAATACTTGGCTTTTAGGAGACAAATTCTCTTGATTTTCCTCTTTTTCACTAGCAATTCTATCTCCTTTGCTGGTTCCTTATCATCATCTTAATATTGGAGAGCCCCAGAGCTCAGTCATTGGACATTATTATGATTATTATTATTTTAAATTTATACTCACCACATAATCTATTCTAGTATCATGACTTTAAAAAATTTACATGACTCCCAACTTTATATCTTAAGTCTGACCTCTCCAGAAATTCCAGAATACTCTATCAATCTTTGTTTCAATATATCTATTTAAAATTATTTTAAAAACAATAAATTTTTGAAATGCATATCAATTAAATGAATGCTTATTAGCTTTTTCAAGTATGTGGAACCCTTTACTAACATCAAAAAACTAAACCATCCACATGAGAGTAGTGTAATTGAGTACCGCTGATAACAAAATGTATAATGAAACCATCTACTATTAACTTAGTCTCACCTTACATTCATATTTCATTCATCATTACATTAACTTGAAAATCATTTTTATAGATTTATCAGTTACACTATTTTCAATCTACAGACAATGAGACAGCAGCATCCAGATTCACCAATTCCTTGCTATATAATTCCCAAACTATCCAGGATCAATGCCCCACAGATTGAAAAACACAAGTGGATTACTAATTAATTTATATGCATAATCAAATGTTTATGTTCAAGACAGACCCACTATTTAAACTTTATGTAGGTTGGCACTGAGATTCCTTATTTCTGTTTAATACATTACTTATAGCAATTATTTTTTCAAGCATTAAAATTCAGAATGGGAAAAATGTAAAACTTCATGTTTAGCCCTCCAGCTGCCAGTCTTCTCTCATGATTTAATAAGGGTACCACATGCATCTGTTCATACCCTAAACACAGTTCAAAAGTTTCAATAGCAGAAGGTAAGATTTGAGGATATTGAACATACCATTAAATTGCCATGATGTTTTGCTTTGTGACATTTTGACCAGCTAATAAGTCTCATTTCTCTTTGTGCAAAAAAATGAACTATTAGCATGGTCCTCAAAAGACACTTCTTGGAAAAAATAAGATGACAGCACGATATAGGATGTAACTGAAGTATAACAAACTAAAAGCAAGAATTAAAAAAAAATAAAAGAAAAGAGACTAGTTAGGAGGTGACAGAGGATAGAATTGATGGCATGGATGTACAGACATTCCTGAATGTGAGAGAGCAAGACCTCAGCAGGTAAAAGAAACAATAAGAACAGGGACATGCATAAATGGCAACAGCTCTATGTGTGTGGCAAAAGCCAATTATCCCTGCCATTGGTCCATATTGAAAACAGTACATGCTGAAAACAGCAATGATAGTAAGATAGGCCTGCTGAGGTCAATTTTCCCATGCCCTGCTGCCTCCTAGTCAATCCTCCTCTGAGACCTGTGCAGATAGTCACATATGCATTTCCCTGTTGCCCCTCACATGATTGGTTTCTTGAGGTGTTTTTCCTTCCTTATTTCCACATACTTAACATTCTATGATAATAAAACCAAATGCCAACCTAGATTCAGGGCTTTACCTTGGTACCTGCAGTTCTTGGCGATGCCTGAAGGTGTAGTCCCTTTGGGCCTCTGTTCCAAGATAGTGGACTCCTAAAATCATTTCATCTCTTATTGGAGCACTCCATGTGGCACCTGGGGTAAGTTCTGTAGGATTTGGAGACAAAAGGATAAGGAGAGTGAGTAAGAAGGATTCTAGAATGACTTCCAAATGTTCATCTGTGTGTCAGTGGTGATACATTAATAATATGAGAAATAAACTAAGGAGATTTTTTTTTTAACTAAGGAGATATTTGAAAGGATGTAGGTTCAATTTTGTCCAGGTCAAAGTCAAAGTTTCTGGGAGGTATCTAGGTAGCAAACGAGTAGTAAATTGAACATAAGGATCAAGATCCCATTACCTGGTATGCATCAATAGTATGAATCAAAACCATCTACCAAGATTTTCTTTCAGTAAGAAAAAGGAGGGTCAGAGCCATCTATATTTGAAATAATTTTTATAGATTCCTCTCAGGTGCTCCAAAGCTATGAAACCCTTGCCTCAGGTTCAAGTCAGACATTGAAACTCACAATATATTGGGCAGTATATGTTAAGTTTAAAACAGTGGTCTTGCAGTCAGATCTGGGATCTAGTCCCAGGTCTTTCAAGCTATGATTTGAATAAGGTACATGACTTTTTTTAAATCTTCATGCCAAACAAATATACTAATTTTAAGAATGTTGTAAGAATTAAATGAGGTAAAATACATTAAGAGATAAACACAGTTCCTAGTACATGATAATGTTACCAAAAAATAGTATTTTTTGAAAGTCATAGGAGTATTTGGAGAATGGAATCAATCATCCTATAAAAACAGAAGTAAAAATTAAAGGCCCAGCCTTGCAAATGCCAACATTTTAGGAGTAACAAGAGAATTATTTAAGCAAATACACTACAAAAGTATAAGCAAACAGCCATAGAGAATTCATGAAGGTTGGTGAACTAGAAGCAATGCAGGAAATTATTTCAAAATCATGGGATAGATCAATAGTATCAATATGGGGATTAAGAAAGACTAAAACTAAAATTTTATCATGGACTAGATAATGAGGAATTTACTGGGGATGGTATCCTGAGCTGATTTCCGAACAGCCTTATGATCAGCCATTGGTTTTAGTTTCAGGTTGATTGAGATCTTCTCCAAGAGCCACCATATCATACCTCTGAATTATTTTTGTTCTGGGTCAAGTGGACTTTTCACACATTGGTAGTCAAAAACCATAAAGGAACAGAGAACTTGTAACTTCATCAAGCTCATAAAAAAAGGTCTGATACGCTATTTTATGTCTCTTGTACACATGACAGAATGTAACTTAAGGTAGCTTTCATTATAACCCAGCTCAAATTGTTCCAGCAACTAAAATTTTCTATCAAAAATTAACTAAGGACTCTGGAGAAGATGGCAGAGTAGGAGAATCCTAAGCTCACCACATCCCATGATAGAACTAGACAACACCTACATCTGTGTAAATAACCCAGAAAATGACCAAAGACTGACAGAACAGACTTTCCACAACTAAATGTAGAGAAGAGGCCACATTGAAGAGGATGGGAAGGACAGAGACATGATTAGCTCAACAGGCCTGCAGATTGGTCTGTGGAAGGAGGGATGCACAGGCAGAGAGTGGGGAAAGAACAGATACCCTAAGCATGGGGACCCCACACAGAGAAGACAAACCACCATAACATCTGGCTTTGAAAATAAAAGGAGCCCAATTTTGCAAGTTCTTACAATCAGAGAGGCTTAACACCTGGAACTTTAAAAATCAATGGACTTAGAGGCCAGAGTCTCTATCCTTAAAAAGACACAAGCAAAGCACAACAAACAGCCCCACAGAGATATAGCATAGAAGCAGCAGTTTGATAAATGCCTGAGGTTTACAGGAGGGAGATTTGTTTACTAATCTCAGAGTATGTGATGGCAGGAATCATTGGGAAACTACTCCGGAAACAAACAAACAAAAAAAACTAGCAGGCACCATTTCCCTCCCTTACCCTCCAGCCTAAATACACAAACACCTGCAGGAATCAGTACTGTGTCAGCACTTGCTACCTAACTTGCTAACACCACTCACTCTGTACCTGTGCATTTTTCTTTGGATCCACTCCATCCAATCCAGCCTACTTTGGTCCAGAAAGTACCAGCATGAACCCCAGCATTTTCTTGTGGACCTGCTCCTTCCAGTATGTATTTGGTTGGAGCCCATCCAAAGATGTACCATAAGCCTGGCAGTGTGCAAGCAGTCCCAACAAAGACCAGAACCACTTCAAAGTGACTCCTACCCTAGGAAGACAGGGAATAACCACACACACCCGTCCAACTGAGGCAACAGCAGTGGGCTGGGGGCAGACATCTGGTTTGACGGCAGGCTTCATCCACCAACAAAAGCTTCTCAGTGGCCACAGAATGGCCCACTAACAACACAGGGACCAAATCTTGCCCACAACAGGCAAAGAGAGCCATTGCAAATGACTGGACTGAAGGCAAAAGCAGCTTAGCCACAATAGTAGGGCACATATAATACACAGGAGACATCCATGAAGCACTAGGTTCTGGTGAACAGAAGACATTGCACAGCAGGGCACTATAGGACCTCTTCTCCTTAGGGCCATTACTTTCTTTTTAAAAAAATATTTATTTATTCATGAGAGACACAGAGAGCGAGGCAAAGACATAGGCAGAGGGAGAAGCAGGCTGCCCATGAGGAGTCTGATGTGGGACTCAATTCCAGGACCCTGGGATCACAACCTAAGCCAAAGGTAGATAACCACTGAGCAATCCAGGTGCCCCAATGCCACTACTTTCAAGAGCAAGGGATGTAGCTGATTTTCCTGACCCATAGAAATAGACACAGAGAGTAGACAAAATGAGGAGACAAAGGAATATGTCCTAAATGAAAGAATAAGATACAAATACAACAAGAGACCTAAACAAAATGGAGAGAAGTAATATGCCTTAATAGAGAATTTAAAGTAATGATCATAAAGATACTGATAGGACTTGAGGAAAGGGAGGAGTACCTCAGTGAGACCCTCAATAGATAGAAAGCATTAAAAAAGAACCAAAGATGAAGAACTCCATAACTAAAAATAAAAATACACAGGAAGGGGGGCACCTGTGTGGCTTAGTTGGTTCAGTATCTGACTATTGATTTCAGCTTAGATCATGATCTCAGTTGTGAGACTGAGCCCTGTGTTAAGCTCCATGCTGGGTGTGAGTCTGCTTCACTCTCTTTTTCCCTCTGCCCTTCCGCCCTGTCTCAGGTTCTCTGTAGCTTTCTAAAATAATAATAATAATAATAATAATAATAATAATAATAATAATAGAGGAGAGGGACTACATAGTAGACTAGAGGAAGAAGAAAAATGGGTCAGTGACCCAGAAGAAAGACTAGGGAAAACAATTGAAATTATCAGGAGAGAGAGGAAAAAAATAACAAAAAATGAATGTAGACTTACAGAACTCAGCACCACTATCAAGCAAAACAACATTCACATTATAGGGACTCCAGAAGAAGAGAAGGAAAAGAGGGCAAAAAATTTATTTGAAGAAATAATAGCTAAAAACTTCCCTAATCTCAGGAAGAAAACTGAGATTCAATAATAGTAGGGGACTTTAACACTTTAACATTAATGGGTAGGTCATCCAGACAGAAAATCAACAAGGAAACAGTGGGTTTGAATTGGACTACATGGATCTAACATATGTTCAGAACATTCCATCTTAAACAGCAGAATATACATTCTTTTCAAGTGCACATGGAACATTCTCCAGAATAGATCTCATATTAGGCCACAGAACAAATCTCAACAAATTCAAAAATACCAAAGCCATTACACGCATCTTTACTTACCACAAAGCTATAAAACTAGAAATCAACTGCAAGAAAAAATCTGGAAAGAACTGCAAATGGAGGTTCTAAACAAGGAATGGGTCAACCAACAAATGAAAGACGAAATAAAAAAATACATGGGGACAATGACAGTGAAAGCACAATGGTTCAAAACCTTTGGGATGTAGCAAAAGCTGTTTATGAGGGAAGCTTATAGCAAGAAGCAAGAAAAAATCTCAAAATAAACAGCTTAGCCTTACATTTAAAGGATCTAGAAAAAGAACAACAAACAAAACCAAAAACCAGTAGAAAAAAGGAAATAATAAAGATTAGGACAGAAATAAATGAAATAGAAAATAAAATAAATAATAGCACAGATCAGTGACATCAGGAACTGGTTCTTTGAAAAGATCAACAAAACTGATAAACCTTTAGTCAGACAGATGACAATAATGACAACAATGACAATGATGACGATGTCAGGAACAAAGAGGACTCTGATAAACAAAATCAGAATTGAAAGAGGAGAAATAACAACTGACACCACAGAAATATAATTATAAGAGAATATTATGAAAAATTATATGCCAATAAACTGGACAACCTAAGAAGAAATGGATAAATTCCTAGAAACACATAAACTCCCGAAATTGAATCAGAAACAATAGAAAATTTGAACACAGTGATTACCAGCAATGACAATGTATCACTAATCAAAAACTCCCAACAAACAAAATTCCAGGACCAGATGGTTTCTCAAGTGAATTCTACCAAACACTTAAAAGAAGAGTTAATACCTATTCTCAAACTATTCCAAAAAATAGAAGAAGGACAACTTCCAAATTCATTCTAGGAGGCCTGCATTACCCTGATACCAAAACTAGATAGACACTACCAAAAGAAAAAAAGATAATGACAGGCCAATACCTTTGAAGAACATAGATGCAAAAATCCTCAGTAAAATACTAGCAAACTGAATCCAACAAGACATTTAAAAATTCATTCATAAAAATAAAAAATCTTTAAAAAACAATAACAAAAAAGAGGTACCTAGCTGGCTCAGTTAGTGTCATTTGGTGGAGCATGTGACTATTGATCTCAGATTGTGAGTTCAAGCCCCACATTGGGTATAGCGATTACTTAAAAATAAAAAATCATAAAAATAAAATCATTCACAATCAAGTGGGATTTATTCCTGGGTTTCAAGGGTGGTTCAATATTCACAAGTCAATTAATGTGATACATCACATCAATAAGAGGAAGGATAAAAATCA